GGGCTTCACTTTCACCCCAGCCCACTTACCCTTATGGTTAGGTGTTAGCCTGCCAAGCCGTTGGTTGTGTGTTCGAGTCTTGTATTCGACATCACCAACCGGAAGCTACTGGAAGCTTCCAGTCAGGCCATATGCAGCATCCAGGAGGCTGCCACTTCGATAAAGGAAATGAGGCAGCCCCGGCCAGCATGCTGGCCAGTGCTGGCAATGAGGAAGTGCTGCTGCGCTCTCGCTTGATGCTGCGCTGCTGCGCTCTCGCTTGATGCTGCGCTGCTGCCAAGGGCGCTGACGGGGCGCGTAGAGGTGAAGTGGGGCGCTGCAGGGCAGCGGGGCGCAGGCAGCCATAGCCGGGCTGCTGGGCACCAGGAGGTATAGCGGGCGATCTAGTGGTCTTCAGGGAAGGAGGCGAGTGTGGGGACATCAAGGTCTGATTGAGGGTGACGAGATACGTACCTGGTACATGAAGGGAGGTCGGCGATGGTGTCGACAGTCATGTACATTGGTCTTTGAGAGTCGAAGTGAGCCTGTTGCGTGAACCAGCTGTAGGTAGGATAGTCAGGTAGAGTAGGCTGGGCGCCAAGCGCCAGACAGAGTGGAGCGACTTTGGATACTGTGTTGGTGTGGCCTACGGGCTTGAACATTGGCTCATTACTTCATTGAATTGCTCTATATTGATGGATACTCGGTGCATTTTGTACTCTCTGCTTGGATACGACTACCTTGACATATGTGTGATTTCGCAACTTGGTTTTCTGTATATCGTGCACACTCATATTCCTTGCATGAGCCTATTGAAATGACTCAAGAATTTCGTTATTTTGAGTTTTCAAGTCCTTGGGTCCCTGGAGATGGATAGAACGAGTGAAAAAAAAATGTCATCTCGGGTGGGAAGAGAGCATGAAATTTATGAACAAATTTGCTGGAGCGGAACTAGACACAGAAACGGACGCAGAGTGACAGAGTCACAGAGCCATAGAGACACAAGCAGAGTCCCATAGTCCCATAGTCCCAGACTTCCACAGTCCCAGAGTCTCATAGTCCCAAAGTCCCAAAGTCAGTCCCAGACTCCCAGAGTCCCAACGTCCCAAAGCCAGTCCCAGAGTCCCAGAGTCCGAAAGCAAGTCACAGAGTCCAAGAGTCCCAAAGTAAGCCACAGAGTCCCAGAGTCCCAAAGTCAATCACATGTCGCAGAAACACAGAGAGCCACAGAGTGACAGCTGGATGCAGAACTGATCAGGAAACAGAACATTTGTGTGGGAGGCTGAGAGTTGGCGAAGTTCGATGTACAGTTACGTCAGCCTTGTGGCTGAATGGTACACTCATGGAGCTGTTGATAAGCAGGACATGGGTTCAAACCCTCACAGATGGGATAATGATGCCAGGTGCTAAGTTGGTTAACCCCTTTTTTCCTTTTTTTTTCTGGTTTGTTTGGGGCTAACTCCCTTTGAAAAAAAATAGCAAATCATACTTACAGTTGCTCAGGGATGGAAGGATTTTTTATAGTGATTGGCATTCTCTGGTTGCTTAATGATCTTGTCGTTCTTGATAAGCCTCCTTTCAGCTTGCTCTTTGAGTCAAGAGATCTTCTTGATGCATGGAATGTTTTCACCATGTCCTTTAGTGTTTTCACATCTCGATTTAATGCATCGATCCGGCAACCCACTTCTTTTGTGTGCTTTCCGAGCAACTGCATGCTCCATGAAAGCAAATCAACACAAGAACAAGGACGGAGACAAAGGCGGACGACGGAAGAGGAAAGAGGAAAGAGGAAAGACAGGAGTTAGTGCACAGCTAAAATAGGCAAAATGTTTCAAATTTCAAGGAATGAAACAGGCACGACAAACTGCAACAGTGAACAATGACCATTCTGTTGGAAAAGTGAGGGGGAGGGGGAGGAGGAGGGG